CATATGAAATTTTGTTTCATTACATCCAAAACAAAGCCTCCGGATATTACTCGCCATTATTCAAGTATTTGATCGAGTGCCTATCCTTGTGCATAATTTATATCGGTATTTATAGATACACATCTACTCGGTTTCTTCTTGGTGAAAGCATTCTTTATTTTTGTTCTACCAAAAGTAAGGGCTATCTAACAATGTTTAAAGCTATATTTGCATGGTTGGTAAGTTTATGAAAAAGGTCGGTAACTATCATGGATACCTAAACCGACATAGATTAATCAAAAACCTTAACATCAATTTAAGCGAGTTTAAATTTTGTTTCAACTAAAAATAAGTTTAGATGCTTTTTGATACATTAGTTAAAATATGTCGAGAAGTGTTAAAGGTAGTTAGAAAGTCTATTTATAGGCTGCTTAGTTACAATACTATGAAAAAGATATGGTTTGGCCTTCAAACTTTTTTGTGCGGTATAATGGTTTTGATCTAAGACAGTTTCCTTGCATGCAAACTTTACCCGATGCTAAGAAGTCGGGTATTATGGTTAAACTTAAGAACTTAGTCGGTGAATGGCCTCCGGATGTTATGAAACACCAAGAAGAGGAAAATAGGAAAGTACGGTATTTACCGATATTTTATGCACTTATTTAAAGGATCAATTGTTATACACGCAAACACACACATGCATATGTTTTTTTTTACGGTAGCATGAATCAAGATATCGACTTACACATTTTGTCTTTTTTATTATCTCCGATCAATCAAGTCATAGCTCGCTGCATCAAAACTTGGCATTCCCGTAATGATCAACGATCCATCAAACATGGGCTTGAATGCGAATCTAAATTTGGTAGACGTAGCAATTAAACAAGCAATTTCGTGTTAAAATAGTAAGGACATAGATGATTGAGCATGGAAATATGAACCTTCACTAACTTTGTATTGTATTTAAGGAAGAGAGAAATAACTACGTCACCACATTGTGAACAATAATTCAATAATCACCTCTTTATGCGGGACAAAGTCGGAGGTCGATCGTTAGCTTCTCTAAATTGTAATAAAAATGTTGTTATTCTTCTATAATGTAGTTCATTCGAAGCAACCACTAAGAAAAAAATGAAACAAAACAATTGTTGCAACGAACTAGGAGAAAAGAAGGCAAATGACAAAAAGAGATGAAACAAAACAAACCAACTCGTCCCAATAAAAGAAACAGAGCATGTGAATGATGAGAAAAAGAACCTACACATTTTCAAAAGAAAGAAACTCCTCTAAAATCACAACACTCAAAAAGACTTCGGGAGAAAATGTTCATATGGGAAAGTGGAAGCGAAAATCCAAATGTGGTTATCCCGACCGAGGAAGCGGAATGAGCGAACCGAAGGCAACATGATGTAGATAATTTTTTTTAAAACCAACTCTGTCACATCGAGAACAAAAAAACAGAGGAGAATGTTTCAAATTAAAGAAATAAAAATTAAAAAGTAAGTGGAAAACAAAAGACACCACTCGGAAAACTAACAACACAAAAAGTAACTGGAAAACAAGTGATGTAAAAAATAAGAAAGCGTACCTAGACAAATCAAACAATGGGAAGCAAGAAGTTAGCACATGAGCAAAATCAAATCTAACAACACTAGTAAAAACAAAAGAGCAACAATGAGAACAAAAAATAAAAGATGACATAAGAAAACCAAGAAACACCCGAATCTCCAAAAACCATAAAATAATGAATTTCTCAAAGAACACAAAAAAGGCAAGAAAAGCAACAATTTAAGGAGGCAACCGAAAACCAAAAGCACTCATATGGCCCGACAAAAACCACAAAATAAACAAAAATGGAAACCCGTAATTTCAAACGGGCATGACAAAAATAATCACCATATCAATTTCAAATTAAAAAAAAAAAAAGGAAGAAAGCAAGCCCACTAAAAAGAAACATCGAAAAAGGCGACGAACGAGGAGGAAGAAACACATTTATTAAAAGCATCACGTTTCTTTAAAATAATAAGGAAGCGATCCAAATGTCCAAACCGAACACGAAAATGTGAAACCATACATAGAAGAAAACGAGAACATCGAGTACAAAGAGAAGGAGTCGAAATAAAACCACAAAGTAATAGTACCGGATCGAAAGGTTCCAAGGAAAATGAACGAAACAGAGCAAAAAAATGCAAACAAAGATTAAAGAAGAGGAAAAAAAAACAACAAGAGTCTCACTAAGAATAGTCATTATAAACAAATAATAACATGAGGGGAAGCACAACACAAATAAGCGAGACCATAAATTAGTCATATAAGAGAATAATATGTCACCCAAGAAAAGATAAAGATAGGCAAACAACCTCCACTATCAAGAGAAGAAGCATTAGAAATGGCACAACAAAGAAAACAAACAAACAAAAAAGGTAGAACTACAAATGAATAAAAAGGGAGTTAAAATAAAAGACTTATAAGAAACAAAGGGCAAATGAGAAAGGAAAAACTGTCACCAACCGAGTAGGATCTAGTTAGAGTTACACATCCGAGAGGAGAAAAGAAATAAGCATGGGTAGAAAAGAAAGAGTAAAATTAATCGATTAAGGAATAGGAGGAAAAAATGCTTATCCGGTTTGACGAAACCCCAAAACAACGGACAAAGACCGAGTCCCTAACCAGCGAACAACCCTCAAGAAAAATGATGCGATGGGCGGCAACAATGATGAAATAAATCTTGGCCCAATTTGAATCGAATGAAACCGAAAGAAATCGATTCGAATCCAATGAAACCCAAATGCAAAATAATCGTGATCTGGATAGGGAAGGGACGAGTAGAAGAAACTCCCGACATAAAATGAGGAAGACTTTACAAGAATCTCGTTCCATAACACATTGATTTGAGCTCTCAAACGTACCAAGTGGGTCCGCAAATGACGACGATTGGGAAAGATTGAGAAGGCAAAAGAGAGCCCCTCCAAAAAGCCGACAACAACATTTAATGAGGTGGTCCGATTGTGAAAAAGGAGTTTGAAAAGCACATAAGCAAATGGGGGAAAAAAATATACATGGAGAAGAGTTGGGTTGAAGGGCGAGAAAATCGTAGCAACTAAAAACAAAGAAAGAAATGTGTTAAGGGCGAGAGAGAGCTGCGTTGAAAGAAAAGAGAAACCTAGCGAAGCAACAAACAAAAAGATAAAAGATGTGCCAAGGCTAAATAAGTAAATGAACAAATTAAGTAAATGGTAAGATAGAAATTAATGAAAAGTCTAGGGCTAAAAGCAAAGCAACACTCATGCCACACAAATGCGAGAAAAGCCAAAATAGTGCACTTGGGTGTGCATGAAATATGGGAAATGAGTTTAAAGCTACAATGATTGAATAATGATACATCCGAGTTGTTTTAGTTTTTTTTTTTTAATCTATCCTTCCATTTTTAGACCCAATTCAAAAGCTATCTCAATGACCATAGAAATATATATATATATATATATATCTCAATAACCATAGTATTTCAAGACAATCTGTTTATTCTCTCGGTTTTGTTTTTGATTTTTTTTTTCCGTAGCAATGAAGCACTTTAGTAATTTTATTTTACCACTTCTTAAGTCCAACCACATACAAGTCTAATAAAAATATAGGACCATAGGCCTATTAATTGAGATGAGAGGAAACACAAACCCCCGACAAAAAAAGGCCTCGATCAAATAAAACATCAAGATCGAACTTTGAAACCGCCCAATAATAGTGGGCTTAAAGAGACTTTTTACTCTTAGATGGGTTTGTGTTTCAAATTTGATTCCCCTTTCTTCATAATATCACTCAATTTACCAAGGTTTAGGATTCGATTAGCCTCATTGATTCATAAGGGGGAAAAAAAGACCAAGAAAATTCAAAATCAACCTTAATGAAAAATTATAACAATTATATGCTACAAAAACAATCATTGTATGCGATGAATCTCCAAATTATTTGACATATTTGTGTTATAATATAGACTCGAATGAAAATTATAGCATGTCTTGATTTTAATTAGATATCAAATTCAAATTTCTACATTTTTTTAACCGGAAAAAAAAGCTTGTTACCCATACTTTGGTCTATTATGTTATGTTAAAAAAAGATATAAAAAAATAAAAATAAAAATAATTGAAATAAACACATGATATGGTAAAGCAATTGGATATGAAAAATCCAAATGGAGATACTAGAAATTCATGTACTCAAGTTTCATTTATTTCTCTACATCTCCTCTTATATTAGTCCTTAATTTATCTATTTTTTGTACAAAAAGAAGACATGAATTAGATAAACTAGCTATTTGTTTAAAAGTTTGATTGAGATGATAAATACATTATTATTTTTTTTTGCATGTTTGAATATAAAAGAAGGTTCTAAGAATTTTATTTTTTATCAATTCAACAATTCGGATATCTATCTAAAATTGAACTAAAGAGGAATTTAGTTAAAAAAAAAAAAACGGAACTTATCCTATATTGTTTTAATAAATATAATTAGAATGATAAATAAGTTTGTCACGTGCTAACTAAAAGTAAAAAAGAAAAAAGAAAAAAAAACCACGAAATTTTTCGATAATACATCAATTTCGAGATAAATAACGTAGTAGTGAACTATTGATTTAAGAAAATGGATCCAGCCTTCAATCAAAAAAACCAAAAAATAATGAAATAGCGAACAAGTAAAACAAGAGAGCAAAATAAGATAAATATCCGGACACATTGATACCTTAACGTGAACTAATCAACGAGGCAACAGAGTGCAGAATGTACCTACAAAACTCCACATCGTGCCCAACACACTTTTGTTTTTTTTTTTTTTGTTTATTTACCTCCCAACGACATTTTCAGTCCCGACCATTCTAAAATAACCCAAAAAGCTCCAATTCAATCAAAACAAACGATAGAACCTTACCAACCCTCACTTTGTCTCTCTTAACGCTCTACGGATCTCATTTTCAGTGCACGAAATCTTCGTTTCCTTGTAGATTTAGAAATCCCAGATCATCAAAAATGGGTAAAAGTCCAATCATGAAACTACAATCTCTAACTAAATTTTGTAACTTTAATGATTGGTTTGATGTAAGTGAATCTGATTTTGATCTTTTTCTTTGGGTTTTTGTTTTTTTACAGTGAACGAAAATCCTTTCAAGTCTATATTGAAGACACTTGAGAAGCCTGGTGGCGAATTTGGCAAGTACTATAGCTTGCCTGCTCTCGAAGACCCCAGAATTGGTTAGTTATTTTTTATTTTTATTTTATATATATATATATTTTATCAGTTGTTGGGTTTAAGTTTGGTTACTGAGAAGGGCAAAGAATAGATAAAGTTTGAAGCTTTATGTGATTTATGTTTGTTGTTGGCTTTACCAGAGAATGAGGATCTTTTTATTACGATAAAAGTTTCGAACTTTTTTTTAATTATTATTCTTTGGCTAAAGTTTGAATCTTTTTATTGAAAAGTTGATTTTATTGATGTGGGATTTTGGATATTTTGATATTGATTTTATTTTTTTCCATGCAGATAGATTGCCATATTCAATTAAGATCCTTTTGGAATCGGCGATCAGAAACTGCGACGAATTTCAGGTTAAGAGTAAGGATGTTGAGAAGATTATTGATTGGGAGAATACTTCTCCTAAACTAGTTGAAATTCCATTCAAGCCTGCTAGAGTTCTTCTTCAGGTAAATGACATTGTTCTTCAATTGGTGGACTTTTTGTTAGAGAAAATACTTGTCATTGTGATTGATCATTGCTATAATTATCATTGATGGTGTTATGATACTGTTCTCAGGATTTCACTGGTGTTCCTGCTGTTGTTGACCTTGCTTGCATGCGAGATGCGATGAATAATCTGGGAGGTGATTCTAATAAGATCAATCCATTGGTGAGCTATTATCTTCTATCCATCTACAGAATAATTGCCATTTCAATTTACTTAATTTGTTGTTTCTGAGTTGTTTGATATTTGGATCTGCTTTGACACGTGGTTGGGTGAATGCATTTTGATTGCCTTGGTTTTTCTAAGGAATTAACCTGTGAAATTTGTGTGCCCAGGTTCCAGTTGATCTTGTTATTGATCACTCGGTTCAGGTTGATGTGGCAAGGTCAGAAAATGCAGTGCAGGCAAATATGGAGCTTGAGTTCCAGAGAAACAAAGAAAGATTTGCTTTCCTTAAATGGGGCTCAAATGCTTTCCAAAATATGCTTGTTGTTCCTCCTGGGTCTGGTATAGTTCACCAGGTGAGGCAACTTTTTTATCATAGAGGTAACACAGTTGGCATTTCGTGTTTAGCTATGTTTCACAAAAAAAAAAAAATGTTACATGCTTGGCTGCAATCAAGGGGAATGAGCTACATCAGTTTCAAAATGCAAATTTCTTTTCTCTGGTGTATTTATGTATTCACATGCAGATCTTTGAAGTTTAATAATTTGATTACTAGGTCAACTTGGAATACCTTGGGAGAGTGGTGTTCAACTCAAATGGTTTGCTTTACCCTGATAGCGTTGTTGGAACAGACTCGCACACTACCATGATAGATGGATTAGGTGTTGCTGGTTGGGGAGTTGGTGGGATAGAAGCTGAGGCTGCAATGCTTGGCCAGGTAAAATATTTGTTATTATATCTATATCGCACGTCTACAATTTGAAACAAGTCTCTAATTGACATAAATTTATTTGCAATTCCCTGTGATTCCTTTCTGTTTATTACCTGCATTAAATTAGCTAACGAGAAATTTTCTAATTGCAACTGCACTCTATAGCCTTTGTCTCGTGCCCATAATTTTTCTCGTCTTTAATTCATCCAGTGTATCTTGATTTTCCATGCAGCCGATGAGCATGGTCCTGCCTGGTGTGGTTGGTTTTAAGTTATCAGGAAAACTTAGAGATGGTGTTACAGCGACTGATTTGGTTTTGACTGTAACTCAAATGCTGAGAAAGCATGGGGTTGTTGGCAAGTTTGTTGAGTTCTACGGTACTCCCTTTTATACTTGCTGTGCATCATTTTGTGTTTTGATCACTATGTAATCTTTTTCTTTATCTCACATTAGATCTTGACTTTTGCTAATGTCTGCAGGTGAGGGCATGAGTGAATTGTCACTAGCAGACCGTGCTACTATTGCCAACATGTCTCCTGAGTATGGTGCAACCATGGGTTTCTTTCCTGTGGATCATGTCACACTGCAATATCTGAAACTAACAGGCAGAAGTGATGAAACTGTAAGTCATAAAACAATATTGTATTTCATTTCTTGTGGCCATTGTATTTGCTGATTCAGAAACCCAAAAAAATGCAGGTCTCTATGATAGAATCCTATTTAAGAGCTAACAAGATGTTTGTGGACTACAGTGAGGTAAACAATACATAACATTTATTGCTTTCTTCAGCAGGGGCTCATTCAATGTATCAATCTATTTTATTATGTCATTGTGAAAATTTTCTCTTTTGTCTAAAAATAATCAAGTCATTGTGATTTTTTTGTCTGATTTCAGCCCCAGATTGAGAGAGTGTACTCTTCTTATCTAGCATTGAACCTTGAGGACGTGGAACCTTGTATATCAGGACCTAAGAGGTAATGCTGATAAATATTTTTAAATTTCCTTTCTTCTTTGCCTGAATATTATATTCCATATTTCTTGGTCAACCCTCATAATCAGATTATTGCAGGCCCCATGATCGAGTTCCTTTGAGAGAAATGAAAGTTGATTGGCATGCATGCTTAGACAACAGGGTTGGATTTAAGGTGAGAATTTTATCAGCTTAGACAAGGCCACATAAAAGAACATCATTTTCATGGAGCCTACTCAGATGTTGTTGATGAAGTTTGTAATGTTGATGGACCATTTATTTTTTTATTTATTTGTTGGGGGGGGGGGGCATGGCGGGTAATTTTGGTTGTAGTCAAAGAAGAACAGTAGATTTTTTTCCTTATTTATTATTATTGTTATAACATAAGAAGGCAGAAACAGAGGGGTGGTTCTTTTGCATCCCGTTAGAAGTCTCAAATTACATTGAAGTGGAAACTGGAAATTTCTTCCAAAGCATTCATTTCTATTCAAAGCATATTTTGTTCTTGTTTTACAATAGTTTAATATCTGTGGTATATCAATTTTCTGTCCTGAACCAAAAATCCCTGCCCTTCGTCTCTTGCATGGCATTACAGGGATTTGCTATACCAAAAGAATCTCAAAGCAAGGTTGCTGAGTTCAATTTTCACGGGACTCCGGCCCAACTCAGGCATGGTGATGTTGTCATAGCTGCTATTACTAGTTGCACAAATACCTCAAACCCTAGTGTCATGCTCGGAGCTGCTTTGGTTGCAAAGAAAGCTTGTGAACTAGGATTGGAGGTTGGCTGTCTCTCCCTTGAAATTTTTTTTTCCTTTCAGCTTATGCTACCCTGATTATAAAAGGATACAATTGCAAGATCAATAGGGAACAGTGATTCCTAGAGTTAAGTGCAACGATGTTGACAAGCCTAAAGCAGAAGAAGTGCATTATATATTACCTTCTCCAGAGCTAATTCTAAAGGAATTATTATCTGACTTGTTCTAGTGCCTCAAGAATGATATTGGTGTAACTTGCGTTGTTTGTTTCTTTGTTATGTTTTCAAGAGTCAAAATTGTGAATGTAATAAATACTGAACATCTGTTCATGGCATTCCAGAAGCTTCAGAATGTGTTACTCTAAATTTTATTTTATTTTATTTTATTTTATACTATTTTTTTTAATGTTTGATTAAACTGTTGTTAGCTTAAACAAAGTTCAGGGGCTAGCTAGTATCGTGCATGCTTTTCCTCCAGCTGAATGCCATTAACGTAAGAGAGGCTTAGATTTATCCATTATCTTTTTCAGATATTCTAGATTGTTGACACATGAACTGGAAAATGTCCTGGCTGAAGTATATGGTCATTGTATGTGATTATATCACATCAGATTTATTGAGTTGCAAACAGAATTTGATTGAATTTATAAGTTGTTCATTCTTTTATCAGGTAAAACCATGGATTAAGACAAGTCTTGCTCCAGGTTCTGGGGTTGTAACCAAATACTTGGAAAAGAGGTATCAATTAGAATTATGATCTCATGTCTTGAAAACTTTATGCACCTGTAGCAATACATTGCTGATTGGGGTACTTCCATGCAGTGGCTTGCAGAAGTATCTGAATCAGCTAGGATTTCATATTGTTGGTTATGGATGCACTACTTGCATTGGGAATTCTGGAGATATAGATGAAGCTGTGGCGTCAGCTATCACTGAAAACGGTAATTTTTTTTCTACGCGTAATTCTTGTCCTGATATTTCTCGTAAGAATCTTTTGAACTGATGATATTGTTGATTTTCTACTTATTTACAGATTTAGTGGCTGCTGCTGTGTTGTCTGGGAATAGGAATTTTGAGGGTCGTGTCCATCCTTTAACAAGAGCTAATTATCTTGCTTCGCCCCCACTTGTGGTAGCCTATGCACTTGCTGGAACGGTACTCATCTTTTATACTAAATAATTTTAAAAATGTTTTGGACCCATTACTGTAGATTGAATAGTATCTCTTCCTGGTGCTGTGTCCTTATCCTGGTTGGTGGTTTACCTATTCTGGACATCATGTATCTCATGAGGGGACAGTGCTGCAGGTGGATATTGATTTTCAGACAGAGCCAATTGGTGTAGGAAAAGATGGAAAGAAGATACTTTTCAGGGATATTTGGCCCTCTAATGATGAAGTTGCTCAAGTAAGCATTAGCCTACTATGTTTTGACTTTGAATAGTCTGATTAGGCTAAAGGTCAGATTTCTCGTTTTTTCCTTGAATGGGCTGCAGGTTGTTCAATCAAGTGTGCTGCCTGATATGTTTAAGGCTACATATCAGGCAATCACCAAGGGCAATCCCATGTGGAATCAGTTATCTGTTCCTTCGGGCACTCTGTATGCTTGGGACCCCAAATCAACATACATACATGAGCCACCATATTTCAAAAGCATGACTATGTCTCCTCCTGGACCACATGGTGTGAAGGATGCTTACTGCTTGCTCAACTTCGGGGACAGTATTACAACTGATCACATTTCACCAGCTGGCAGCATCCACAAGGACAGTCCTGCTGCTAGATACCTCATGGAGCGTGGGGTCGATAGAAGGGACTTCAATTCCTATGGAAGTCGTCGTGGTAATGATGAAGTGATGGCAAGGGGCACATTTGCTAACATTAGAATTGTTAACAAACTGTTGGGAGGAGAAGTTGGGCCTAAAACAATTCATATTCCCACTGGAGAGAAACTCTCTGTGTTTGATGTTGCGATGGTAATTTCTTTTAAGTTACTTCATAAACTATTAGGTCCAGTCCTGCCTTATGTTTTGATGGAAAAAAGTCGGGAGGAAAAATATCCTAGGTTATGGTTTAACCGTAGGGTTGTTAATGGTTAAGGCTATAAGGCTAGAAGGCTGTAATTAGCAAACAAATTAATTAAACTATAATAGATAGCCATAGTTCAAATCAGTATTGTTCTGGGTTAAGTCTACATTGTACTGGGGAAACATACAGTACGTCAATAAATTTTAATTGAATGGATGACATCAATTGCTAGTTTCATCTTTCTTAGATGTATTGCTTAGAGTTTGTGGTCTTAAATACTGAAACAAATTTATAAACAATTCGTAAACAAGCACCACATTTCTTGTGTTAGGGCTGTAATGATGTTGCAATTCTGGTTTTATTGCTTTTGTTAACAGAGGTACAAGAGTGAGGGACATGATACAGTTATTTTGGCTGGTGCTGAGTATGGGAGTGGAAGTTCTCGTGATTGGGCTGCGAAGGGTCCAATGCTACTGGTATAGTCTCCGCCAGCATTTGAAGCTTATCTAATTTCTAGATGACTTTTTAGCTTTTAAGCTTTTAAACTTCTATCTAGTTGCCAGCATTTATGGTAATCCTTTAAATTGTCACTGGACCAGGGTGTGAAAGCAGTGATAGCCAAGAGCTTTGAGCGAATTCATCGCAGTAATTTGGTGGGAATGGGTATCGTTCCCCTTTGTTTTAAGTCTGGGGAGGATGCTGAGACACTTGGCTTGACTGGGCATGAGCGCTACAGCATCGATCTTCCTAGCGATGTGAGTGAGATTAGACCAGGTCAAGATGTTACAGTGGTGACAGACAATGGCAAATCATTTACATGTACCTTGCGTTTTGATACAGAGGTAATGATGGAAACTTAGACCTTGGTTTTTACCTTAAAACATATATATATATTGGCATAATAAATGCTTTGATCCCTTCAAATACTTGCGCCCTAAGTTTTTTAACTTTCATGCAGGTGGAATTGGCATATTTTGATCATGGAGGCATTCTACAATATGTTATCAGAAACCTGATTCACACCAGTCATTGAATCAGCTGTAGTTTGATTATCAGAACGGTGGGTTTGCAGCCCCATATCTGTTGCCAAACAAAGATTGGGGGTTCGCAGGATATAATCTCAGTTTTGGTGTGAAGGCTGGCTATGGTGCCATTAATAAGTCGAACTTATTCAGTAATGTCAGTGTCGAAGACGTGGTTTACATTGATTTGATACATCAATCATGTTGTTTATTTTGACATTCAATGTCCAGTTTTGATTTAGCTCTGCTGGTTCCAAATGTGTGATTCTGATAATTTGAAACTTGAAAACTTTATATCACGAAAGTGTATCTCGATGCTAGTTATTGCTTATGTGCAATCCTTCTTTCAAAGATGGTGTAGTCTTGCCGTCGCCATGGTCAATTTCCAAAGATTCTTCCGTCTTCCGTTTAAGAGCAGCCTCCAGCGTCGGTTTTCACAGAATGCTTTATCGGCCTTTCAATGCCCCCAAGGATGCATTTAATTTGCCATGGGAAAAGCTCAACGTAGCTCAATGTTTCAGTAGGCTCAACCCTAGAGCAAAGAAACCAGCCTAAGCTAAGGCTCTGGTTGCCTCCCTGGATTAACAAGTTCAATGGTCTCTGCTCCGTTGGTTTAAGCATTGAATTAATTGAACTGTTAGCTTCAAAGAAATCCCAAGGCATCATAGTTCGGACGATCAGACTCTATAACCCATGAAAGGATATCTATAGATCTACTGGTTAAAGCGTGGGTGGACAATTATGATCATGTGAATACAACTGATCCCAGATAACTGATGATGCATGACCATGTTGCTCGTCCTACAAATTGTGGCAACTGATACTGATTCACATGGTTTGGGTGCTAGACAGATCCAGTGGATACGGTCAGACACTGGTTTGAATCAATCAAGGATTCTCAGATAACAGCTATCCACAGACACCACAGAACTTTAAAGGAAAAGAATAATAAATTTATCCCTCCAGTTCAAAATTAGGGCACGAGTCTCTCTAACAGCAACTTAAAAATTCAGAACCTCATTCTTCTGTAACAGCGACAATTTCAGACTACTTCATCCGACTCCAGCAAGAGGGGATCCAATGCCCCAGTAGTGGTAATTATCAAAAATTACGGCAAGCCAGTGTTGGTTGGATACAAAGATTACAAATTAAGTGAAACCCGTCAATGCTGGAGCCCTAAATTGGGAAGCACAGATTACAGAGTATGATGTGAAGTTCTATAATTACCTGCACAAAAGAGAAGTGGTGTATTAGAGAAGAAAATTTGACGGACAATGTTTTTTCAATCAAGATACTTTCAGAATGAATCCAACACCAAAAAAGGGGACGCTAAATGGCTCAAGAACTAGGCAACAAACTCTACCCTCCTAAATCAACAAAGGTAATTTGTTTTTGTAGTCACAGGTAAACCCAAGAGACAGCATACTGAACCAGGCTAAAATTATTGCAGAAAATGTAGAGCTGATCAAGAACAATTTGTGAGCTGATCAAATGCACCCCTGCCCCCACCCAAGAACCCAAAAAGAAAAGGAAATGCACGGAAGATTTGCTGTGTAGATCAACAAACTGTTTTCAGCATTTAACTAATAGTTTGTTGAGAAATGCCATCGCCACAGGAGGAAAATATTATTACCAACCAAAACAAGAGCAACTGTCAACAACCAAAGCCCAAAATTAAGGAACATCTGCACAAATGACATTGTTAATTGTCTCTTTTGGGTACAGACAATTACCTTTGGGTTAGTATTTCAGACCTTGTACTCATTCACACGCATCCATTTGGTTGATGACCACTTATTACCTCGAATCACAGGACAACCACCTTCATGGAAGAATAATCCAACTTGTCAATTACTTAATGATTGCATCACTAAAACCTGCAAAGTGAAGTTATAACCATGTGGATGTATGCCCTCTAGAAATGATGAGGTAACATCAGCATGGTTATACTAAAACCTAAACTACACATGTTAATGCGATTAGCTGGTTGTGAGTAACTAACCATGTAAACTTGAAGGGTCTAGAGTGGCATCAGGTTTCATGCTCCAGAAAAGCAATGCATCACCCATCTTTGGTTTAACAGAGAGGCCCTCCTTTCCACATTCAGACAACTCGTTCCACCAAGGTACTGAACTAATGTTCCCCTTGGCAGAAGGAAACACAGTCTCGCCCCCTTCTTCAACATCTGAGCTGTTACAATTGTACAATAGTGAAAGAGAAAATATTACAGATAGAACAAATGCAGAATGCACTTGAATTCAAAGAAATTCTACTAGCAGAGATCTCACTTACAGATACATGAGAACAGTAGCTATGCGTTGACCTCCATTCTTGGTGTTATAATCATCCATAAAGTAGTCAAAGTGAGGCTCATACTTTTGCCCAACTTCGTAGTGGAGAATTTGAAGCCCTTCACCATGCTCTGTACACCAAGTCAGCTTAGTAGAGGTGATGAATTAAACTGAAAGGCAAATTACTAGAAGATGATGCAATAAGTAGTTACACGGATGCATAAGCATATGAAGTTCAAAATTATGGAAACCTGTGCTTGAGAACGTAGCCTTCAAAGTAATTCCATTCAACTATTTGATATAGAGCCAAAAAAAAAAAAACAAAAAAAAAAAGAAGAGCCAAATTTCACCAACGCTATAAACTAATATTCTTTTTTTCATTCTTTCCCTTGACCCTCGAAGTAAATGAAGCTCAACCAACATACCTACAGGAATGAAGCTAAAATCAGCAATCCTTTTCTCAATATCTCTAATGATTTTGTCACGACCTCTTGGTAGAAATGTTCCAGAACTCGTGCGCACTCTACATGTCAAAATGCATTGTTAATTCCAATAATTATTGGCGAAGTAAGCATGCAAGCAAATGAAGAGATGAAAAACAAGAACATTCATCCATCCATAAAATTCAAGAACAGAAGAGTAAAGTTTAAAGAAAGAAAAAACCACCTGCTGTCTTTACTCTTCCCTGTTGAACTGTCAACAACTGTCGACTTTTGCATCTGCGGCTTCGCAAGATTGATTAAGTAATCACATTCCGCTTTAGTCTGTCCAAAAAAAGCAACAACTAATTGTTTAAAACATTTAATTTAAGTTTCTTGTGAGAAAAAGCTACTAACCAATATAATTTCAACACCGAAAAACAGACCATAAAATCAAAAGCCTACGACCAAAAAAGAAAAAGAAATAAAAAACCTAAAACAATTCATATCAAAATACCAAAAAAAAAAAAAATCTAAAAAATATAATCATATCTAAATTTTACAGAGATCAAATTGTATTAATTAATTAAATATTGGTTTTAATCACTAATTACAAAATCACTCAAATCAAATGTTAATTCAATTATAAAAAAATAAAATCGACCAAAAAGCATGAAACTCAACTGTTAAATTACTAATTACAATTAAAATTACACTTAAAATTCAGCTGGTCAATGCATAAATACCAAATTAAATCCAACCCAAAATTAAAAAGAAGTCCAAACACACACAAATTGGGAAAAAAAAAAAAAAAAGAACTCACCAAAAAATTATGATAAACAAAAGCACGAGGCTCCCATGAGATAACCTCTACCCATTGCTCTGCTTTCCCTTCATCATCTCCACTCCTACAAAAACAGCCAAAACCAATAAAGATAATTACGACCATGCCATCCATTCTGAAACCAAACACTGAACAACAGCAACACGAAATCAATCTCACTCGTCAATTCTGCTATTGTGAGCGATGGAGCTGAGATCGTTAGCTTGACGCGACGAATCGGAAGAAGAAGTGCTCGGAATCGAGAGGATTCCGAGAGCGAGAAGAATTAAAATCACAAATGTGAACATTAATAGCAGAGTTAGTATTAGGGTCGATGACGGTGATTTTCGTGCAGCAATTCGTGAGTATCTCGCTTTCGCCATTTTCGTGAAAGTCCGAATCAGAAAACGAGATCGGTGACAGAAATGGCAGTTGTTTGATTTAGTTTAATAGAAAGAGATCGGTAGGAGTTTTTTTTTTTTTTTTTTTAATTAATAAGAGAAGAGACGTGGTTTTGAGAGAGGACTTTTGCAGAGGATTGACTATCTGTTACTTGTTTACAGACTTTATACTTAAGCTACTTGCATTTTAGGAAATCCCTCCCTAACATTTGTTATTAAAAAAAAATCCTTAATATTTTAAGTTGATTTCCAAAAGACAAAATTACCTCATGAAAACTTAAAATGTAATTTACTAATTCTATTTTGATCTTGCCTTTCTATTTAGTTGTACCAAGAAGGCAAGAGTTGTTTTAATTTGAAATTTTAGTAAGAGAAATGTTGAGAGAGATTGTGAAATGTAGCAGTATGCCCTTGTAGACACTGAGTCGGTGACACATCATAATAAATTATGAATATTTCAGACCTATCATACCAATTTATTATTATTTGTTAATTTCATATGCTACATGTATGAGATAGGACATTATGTAAAGGTTGAAAAAACGCACTCAAGAATTAATTCTCGTAAAAAGCTACTTCCGTACAATATACCATCCGCGTTTCCTATTTACTGAGCTTCAGCCTTTTCTTCAAAAAAAAAAAAAACGTAAATTTTTATATTTTATAATTATTTTTGTCTTTTTATTTTTTTTCATGATTTCTTTTGTAACATATCAGACAAGTAATAACCTGTCTAATTAAAATACTATATCACTGTAACTTTTATTTTCTTCAACTGTCTCAAAATGGGGCATCTGTTTTTTTGTTTAATTTCTGATATATATAGTGCTGTAATTGAAAATTAATTAATTGGTTAAAAAAAAATCTCGACCTTTCTCATCTAGGCTAGATTCCTTTGTAATGGATAATTAGTGCTATAATTGAAAATTAATTAATAATTGCAAATTGTTGGCGCATTCCAATCCAGCAACATTAAAGTCAACTACTCAGATAGCAAATTTGGCGGTGAGTGTTTATGTTTAGATTGTTTGCACGTACCGAAATCCTTGCTTCCTGACCAGTTCATATGTTGTAGATGCTTCACAGGCTGGGCTCGGATGTAAGTGGGTTTATTTTTTTGTAATGGTTAAATTTAATTGGATTAAAAGTTTAGGATATCTTTCTATTGTTTCAATTTTCCTTCTATTGTTTCAAATATTTTAATAATATCCATCTATTAAAATTTTTAATTATAATATCTTTTTATTTTTTAATTATATCTCTATTTGATCCTTCGATCATTTTTTCAAGTAATAGAGACAAAAATAACAAAACAAAAAATACTAAAAATTGTCTATGCTTGTTTGAAAAAATGATCGGAGGAACTAAATGCGGACCCAATCAAGAGTAGAGAAACACGATAATTAAAAATTTTAATACAAAAACACAATTAAGACATGATATTTGAAGCGAATCTAGTTTCTTTCCTTAAAATTTTGATTGTTTCAATGTCAATTTGAAATTTCAAAATCGGATCAACTAATAATTTTTTTTTCCAATTCCTAATTAAGCTTTAGAAGATCAATCAAATAGAATCTTTTATCAAAACTTTGACCATGTAAAACCTTCTATTTTTAATCAAAACGTCTAAATAATGCCCACATATATCATTTATATTTAAACATATAAATACAAAAATAAAATAATAGAATTCTATGTCAAACTACGCAAAGAGAAAGTTTAAACTATGGAGCTCTTTAAAAATAAAAAAAAATAAACAATAAAGGTTATATATATATATATATATATATATATATATATATATATATATATATATATATATATATATTTGATGAGTCAAACGTTGCATCATGTCAAGATTAATTAGTTCCATCAAATATATTCTTGTTTTGTTAGTTGATGATTATACTCTTGTAACAATAGAAAAGCTTAAAAGTTGTTTTATCTTGTAACACTACTAGAATTTTTAGTTTTAAGGTTTTAATTAATCTTCGTGTGGTCTTCTTAATTTAATCTTTTTCTAATTTTTAAAATATTTTATGTTTTTTTTTCTCTTGTTTTTCATTGTAAGCCATATCCAATGTCATAACCAAAAATTTTCCAATATTTTTATTATTTTTATTATTTCTCATTTATTTTGTTTTATCTCATTTTATTTTATTTCGAAATTTACTACAAAAAACTAACTAAAAAATGAAAAAAGAAAAAATTCAACAAAATACAAAAAAAGAAAGAAAGAAAAAAAGAAGAAAAACTCACTACTCTTAACCCTAAAATTTTTCTATAAAACAACCATTTCTTGGATGTTTGGGAGCCACAAAAGCCTCCATAATTCCCCAATCTCAAAAACTCAAATCCATGTAGTCTATTGAAAAAATAAAATAAAAAGTCTGGATAACCATCTTCACAGGAAAAGATGGCCGCCATGGTTATTCCTCCCTCCACCGAGCTCCAACAAATCTCCCTCATAATAGCGACCACCCTTTTCCTTCCGCCATCTTCATCTTCACCCACTATCACAACTATCTCCTCTTTGTAAGCCCTCCACCGTAAATCCACCTCTTTCGTTGTTAGCCACTCGTCAACATAGTGGCCATCACCCTTGAAACCTTCACAACCCATTACCATAACAACCCTTGCTATTGTTCTTCTTCCTTTGCCGGCGTCCCCATAAAGAACCCATGTTCACCCTTCTCCAAAACCCCAAGACCATTTACAATATCTTTAACCTAACCCATCCTTAAGACCACTAATAATAGACTAGTATACTGCCGCCATTAAAAACCCCTATAAACCAGACCACAAACCAATAGCCTCACCCACACCAAGCCATCCTCTTCATCTTCATCATCCACAAGTTCTTGACCCATCCTTTTCATTTGTTAGTTTAGGTGCCCAAGATCCAATAATGTTTAGATTGGCTTGAGTTAATGTATTATTGCATCGGTTATTTTAATAATAATAAAGAAGTCATTATATTTATTCTTGTGTTTTATGTTTATAAATTCAGTAAAATTAAATATAAGTCATTATGATATGCATTTATAATAGTGATTGATCGAACGATACGAGACAAACACTAATGCATATAAATGATATCATTAAACGTCCCAAGTCATAGCATTGTTAAGAATAGACATTGACTATTTGCGGATATACTTGTGAGTGCTATGCCCATGCTATATGATAGCGAGTAGGATATCTCACACATATTGGTATGGTGATGCCAAAGCAAACACTTAAGTGATTTATATTAAAGAACATATCACTAGACTTGATTTGCTATGAGATTCCATTTGGTTTTAGTTTATAGTAATCTCGTACGAGATGGGTACAAATGGTCCTTAGACTTGAAGTCATTACGGTTGTCTCATTAGAAGACTTATGCACTTTGACACTCGTTTCAATGGACCCATTAAAGGATTGCACATGGGCGATTTATTGGGTACACTAGGAATCTAATAGAGGTAAGTGTATGACTAAGATAAGACATGTCATTCCTTGTATGCTAAAGGAGTTATCACATTGCACTTCGATAAATGTCTACTCGAGAAATTTATGGCCATAGTATGAGTACACCAATAGAGCATAGTTAGTTTATTCTAAGAGCTATAACATTTAAGAATCAAAGAAAACTTATGTGATCATAATCGAATAATACTTATAACTAAGTTCAAGATCACACCTGTGATAAGTTGATATGAGGACCGAATTATATTGTAACCATGCTCGTGAACGATAATAATGGATTAATTAATCGTCCTAGAGAATTTAGTGATTATGATGTCTTGCTGGAAGTCAATCTTGATTTATGTATCAAGAGATAAAAGAGGAGTCTTCTGTTCTTGATACATTGGCAACATATCTAGGAGTTTATTGAGTCACACACATAAGTTTAAGTATTTACATGATGGATGAGAAGCAAAAATATTAGAAAAGGTTTCTAATTTTAAAAGTTTATTATTTTGGAAAGGGTTTCCAAAATGAAAAATTTCCTTAAATGGAAATTTTCCTAAAATGGAAAGTTTTCTTAATTAAGAAGTTTCCTAAAATGAAAAGTTTCATATTTTAAAAATCGAGTTTTCTAATTTGGAAGTTGGTTCCAAATTTGAAAATAAATAACCTAAAATGGAAATGAGTTTCCTAATTTAGGCTAAAACGTATTTTGAAAAATTATTTCCTAATATGGAACTCGTCTAAAATAATCTAAGATTATTTATTTGGATAATCTAAATAAATTAATTGAGTCATAATGGTTTTGGCCCATTAGGTTTAATTAAAAGCCTTAAGTATTTTGGTGGGAGGATAACATCAACCTTATTAGATAAGGATGAATGTTTCAAAAATAAAGATAAAAAAAAGTTCACATGTAAAAATAACTCCTAATCTTTGAAGGATAATGAAGCAACAATCTAGAGTCCTTTAGAGACTCATTGTCGTCCCTCTCCTTATCCTTGGAGGACAAGGAGACTCTCCTTTTTATATATTGGAGAGAGACAAGTGCGACACATAACACAAGAGAAAGAGAAGAAAAAGAGAGTTTCGACCGGAATTGAAAAGGGCCACTAAGCATAAGACAAGAAAAGAAAAAACAAGGAGAAAATAGTTTTCTCCAAAACCCTATCACACCATACTCTTTCCTTCTCCTTGAGGTTATCGCAAAATTGCTTGGAATAGATTTCTATAGGAAACACTACATAAATCAAAGAAGGTGGAGCTAGCACCATATCGATTTTGAGTGCTTCTTTATGGGTACTTAGACTATATAGATCATCAATAGAGATCGGACACCTGGATGACTTTTTTGCTAAAAGAATTTAGATCTGCGCTATAAGAGGTGATTCTTTATTCATTGCTTTAAATTCATGGATGTTTGATTAATAGATTCAAAAGCTTGATCTTGGGCCCTTAGATGGAGGAAATTTTTTTTTATTTATTTCACACCTCCATAGGATGCATGATCCTTCATCATCTTCAACACTTTCACCAAGGTCATCTCTACCCGAACACCCCTAACAATCACTAAGTCTCTCGAACCTCCCTTACCCTTATAAATCCTCTCAATAGAACCACTACCTCATCTCTTTTTGCTTAACTTTGCCAATATCCAAACCAAAGCCGTGGCCACCACAAGTGTCCTCCTCTATATCTAAAATAAACTCACTCTCTCTCATAAACAAAAATACATACGCTTAACCTATAATTTCTAGCCTCTCGCTGTCAAGCTCGTATAGACCTACACCTAAAACCAATTTCATCCTCCTCATTAACTACCATCCATACCAAATCTCAATACCACCGGACTTTCTAACCGAAGCCTCCTCTATCGGACCCTCCTACCGCCATTGGGAGTAATCTCTAAACTTATTAATCAAGACCCGACTAACAACAAGTAATGAATGGAAGAAACAGGGGAGGCCTAAAGTGGGAGTCGAAAGGAGTTCTATCGAGCATTTAGTGGACGGATTCGGGAGTTATAAGCAACCCTCTTTCACCGGTACGACGACCAGCCTCACTCATTTCCCATATTGAAACTCATCCCAATAACCACCCACATTCATAGACACCACCAACCTCCGCACCCTCAAATCAACAATCGAGACCCTCATTCGTCGCTAAGCACCTCGCAAAACATTTAATAATGTTAGCATAAAAATTTACATTTGAATAATTAAGATGCTTTTTCAAAACATTATCTAACTTATTTTATTTTAAAAAATTAGAATATGAAAAGATAAATAATAAATAATAATTATTATGTCGGATATATAGTTAATTTCTAACAAAACTAAAGATAAAAAATAAATAACAAATAATTGGTATTATGTCATATATATATATATATTCGAGTATATAGAATAAATAGAAAAATATATTAAAATCCACCTAAATTGTACGAAATATATTGAAGTTTATAAATTAAAATAAAAACTATAATAAAATTGATTTTGATAAATTCTAAATAAATAGATATAAAAAAGCATATATATATATCACTTAATTGGTTCAAAGTATATAGAATAAATAGAAAAATATACTAAAAAATCACCTAAATTGTACGAAATATATTGAAGTTTATAAATTAAAATAAAAACTACAATAAAATTAGTTTTGATCAATTCTAAATAAATAGATATAAAAAAGCATATATATATATATATATCACTTAACGATTCAAAGTATATAAAATAAATAGAAAAAATTTACAAAAAAAATTTACCTAAATTGTATGAAATATATTAAAGTCAATAGATTATATATATATATATATATATATATATATATATATATATATATATATATATATATATATATCACACTTAACATATTCAAAGTATATAGAATAAAGAGAAAAAATATAAATAAAAATTCACCTAAATTGTATGAACTATATTGAGGTTAATAGATTAAAATATAAACTACAACAAAATTGGTTATGATAAATTTTGAATAAATATATATAAAAAAGTCAAATAAAAATTATGAATTTTTTTAACCGATTATTATTTAAAAAAAAATTGAGTCAAACTATATAAAACATACTTTTAGCTATCTCTCTCTCTCTCTCTCTCTCTCTCTCTCTCTCTCTCTCTCTCTCTCTCTCTTATATATATATATATTGGAATAAAATATAAAAGTAAAAATATCAAAAAACCTATCTCTTAAATCAACTCATATCAAAGTTCTTCAAGTTGTTCAAAAGTTTATCATAGTATAGTAATTGAAATATATATTATTTGAACCCTTATTTCATTTCAATTAAGTCATTTTTATTAATAAAATTACAAAATCAAGTGATACAATAGGAAAATAAGTAAAATAATTTTTTTTAAAAAAATTCAATTTCAAGCAATAAAAAAAGAAATTAAACATTTATACCAAGTTAGAAGAAAGAACTCTATAAAATTTTGGTTAAATATTTTTAATGAGGATTAGATCATTACTATTCATATTTAAACATAATACAAATAATAAATATAATTATAATGATTATGTCAAGATAGAAATAAAATTATCATAGCTTAGTTAAATCATTAAACAATCAAACAATCAAAATTACATTACCTCCACAACGCGACGGCATACTTGCTAGTTATATACTTATAACAACTTGTCATTTTTGTTACCATTAAAAGGAGGTTAACGATAGACTTAGAAATGGTCGTATTTCAAAGCCAAGTAATCGAACAATTTCTCCATCCAATCTGCCTCATTAAATGCCAAAAAAAAAAAAAAACTAAGGTACAATAAATGAACAAGTAACACTATTCAAACACCCAAGTTCTTTTAGTTTTCTTTATAATTGTATTTATTCATTTATTTTGTTTTAGATAATCTGTCTTGAATGTTTACTTATGTAAGCTTGTTTCTTATTTAATTTTATATTTTAATATTCTAGTTTTCTTGAAATTTTATTTAGATAATTTTAATTAATTTTTATTTTTATTTTTATTTTCACAATTAGGTTAGATAACCAAATGGTAGATAAATTATCAAGACTCCTAATTTTTAGGGACTAATGATGATTCTCAATCAATAATAAAAATAAAAATAAAAAATGATAAAAAAGACTAATAGTTAATTTTAATTTTAGGATTTTGTTTCAAAATTAGTTTAGTAATTAATAGTTAGGCAAATTGTCGAATCTCCTACTTCTTAGGGACCGATGGTAATTTTTTATCGAAATGTCAATAACTAGATTAATAGTTAACGAGTGAACAAATTGTCAAATCTCTTAATTCTTAGAGACCGATGGTGGTTTCCCATTTACCAACATTAATTAAAATTCCTAATGGAGTCTCCTAACCGATAGGGACTGTCGTTAGCTAAAATAAAAAACTTGATTTAACTTAGAAATTGGAGTTCAATTCGAAAATAA